TCTCTCTCTCTCTCTCACTCACTCACTCACTCACTCACTCACTCACTCACTTACTCACTTACACACTCACTCTCAAAATGATACCATTTAATACTTTATAAATAGTAATTTTAAGTAACATTTTAAAGTATTTTATAATTAAAATATTTTATAATGTTATAAAAATTTATTATTTCTAATAATATTTATAAAAGTGTAACAAACTATTATAATCATTTTGATGCATAAATTTTAATTGATTATTATGGCGTGTAATAAATATACATACAGACTAGTGGCCAACAATAATGATAGCCAATTATTTTAACATGATAATAATAAGGTCTGACAATGTAATAAAGCGTATAATTGTCAGAAATAAATCTAGCTAACTAAAAAACGTAACTTTTCCCTGAGGCAATTTCCCATATTTAGTTTTAAAAGTATTCATAAAAAATACAGAATTGTTATGTGGTAAAAATTGTAAATACTTTTTGAGCAAATCTACAATAATTATGGCAAAAATAAAGAATTCATTTCTGAAATATAATTTATAAAATATATAAATATACAAACAAAGATACATGACAATTTGTACACTACCTACCAAGCTTACACTAACAAATTATCAACATCCCAGTCTTCGTAGGGCAAGTCAGGCAAACTCCGGATCATACATGCGGATCATACATCATGTATGCGGTGTCATTGGGGGCCTAAATGGCTTTAATCTGCGGCCCCGGATATGGTCGGCACACTTCTCGGCCATCATAATCGTCGGCGCGTTTGTATTGCCCGACACTACGGCCGGCATAATACCCTGAACATGGTGGATTAATAGTCCGTAGTCATTGGCCAGGGTGGCTGTCAAAAAGTCATATAAGTAGGGTATAAATAGTGTTAATGAGTTTTACAATTTAAAATTATCTTTATCAATGAATTGAGAGTTATTTATAAATAAATAATTAATTGCTTTAAGTTTTGGTGAGAAATAAATATAAAAAAGTAAAACTAAAAATTAAACGTTAAGTTAAACTAAGAAATAAAATAAAAATTTATATATTAGGTCATTTGATATTGTTCAGGCCTAACTGTCTTCTAGTGTATATAGAATTATGAAAATGGTATCATAATTTAAGTTAACATCTCTAGGCAACAGAAATAAAGTTTCATAAAATTCGCATCAATAGTTATGGCACAGGAATATTTTATATGACACCTGCCAAAATAATGTATTCCTATGGGAGAGTAACTATTTCAGTATTTTTTGACTGTGATTTTAGACTAAAATTGATCATGCTTAAATAATAATAGAGATAATACAAAACCCTTACTCTTCTGAAATCTCCCATATTTCATGAATCTAATGATATGCTATTCAATGGCCAACATTGACCGATACCCCAACTGTGACCAAATATTTATCGGTTGTCAACCCGATTGGCGCCCTGTGTTCGGTCGGTTCGCATTTGATTTCCATTATAGTTGATGTCATGAAATCTTCTTAAAACTATTGTCGAATAACTAATTGTGAATCTCAATAACCAAATAATCACTTTAAACATGTATTTTGTAAAAATATTCTAACTTTAAAAATCTAATAATTTTTCACCAAATATTTTGTACAAATTTGTAAAAATATATCCGACTGACACATTTTAAAAATTCCCAGTATAAAGTCTAATCAACCAATCTTAACGAAACTTGGTTTCTGGTGCCTAAGAATGTTAACTTAAATTATGATACCATTTACATAATTTTATCTACACTAGATGGCAGTTAGGCTTGATCATTACCAAATGACCCAATAATAAAAAATAAAATATTAATTGCATTTAATAATAAAAGCAAGTTTGTATACAGTATTAACAAATCATTATAACTAGATCAATCATGCCACAAACATACCTGTTAGCATAAAAAACTGTACATCGGGGTAATCATCGCCGGGCAGTGTGTATTTGGTGGACACAAACGCCGTGCCTTCAACCATGTTGTTTGTTAGTGAATTATTTTTGTAAGCAAAATACTCGAGTATATGGCCGGGTGTGGCCTCCCGGAGCACATCTATGCCAATTGACTCATTCACCGTAAACGGCATACCTGTGCAGTAGTGCTCCTGGAGATTGTCGCCCACCGGCCGGTCCGACAGCACAGGTATTCCCAGCGATTTCAAGTGTTTCGCCGGTCCTATACCTAAAAATATACATTTTTTATTCAGATTAATTGATTGTGCATTTTTGTTACCATAATTATACAAATTAATTAATCAAATATTAACTTTAAATGTACTAATCAATAAAATAAATAACCATACTCATTATCACCTGATAGCATGAGTATTTTTGGCGAATTGATAGCACCGGCCGACACAATCACTTCCCTCCTGGCCTTCACTGTATACCTCTTAAACATACGGTCAAACTCCACACCCACCGCACGTTTATCCCCATCAAACAGCACCCTGGTCACATACGATTTGGTCAGCACATGCAAATTCTTACGGCCCGCCAGTGGTTCCAGATAGGCCTTGGCTGCCGACAATCGTTGACCATCTCGTATAGTAGTCTGCGGTATAGCAAACCGGGACTGTCGGGGGCCGTTCGGGTCGCCGGACGGGTACCCAATCGGGGCGCCAGCACTGGCAAAGGCTTGCGATATCACGCGGGGCACCGACGGGGTTGTCACCGTTAGGGGTCCGCCCCTGCCGTGATACCCACTGGCCACCAGTGCCGGATCCCGATTGTCTTCGGACTTGACAAAATAGGGAAACACTTCGGGCCACGACCAGCCCCGGGCACCGGCCGCCGCCCACAGATCGTAGTCACGCGGATTGCCCCGCATATACACCATGGAGTTGATGGTTGACGAGCCGCCCATGGCTTTGCCCCGGGGCCACACCCCCTGCCGACCTACCATTCCCTTACAGGCCCGCCGTTGGGGTAGTGTCCGAAATGACCAGTCCATTGGCCCGGTCTGCAGGTTAACCCCGTTCATTGGTATGTCCGAGAGGGTAGTTTCCGGACCCCCGGCCTCCAGTAGGAGGACTGTTACGTAAGGGTCTTCAGAAAGCCGGGCGGCCATCACTGACCCGGCACTGCCCGCACCGACGATCACGTAGTCGTACTCTGTTTCGTGAGTTGTCTGTAGGTATGCGATGTGGTTGTACTGGTCGTGAAGTACACTGAGTATTATAACGGGTATTAGGGCCAGGTACGGCACGTGGCCTACAGTGGCCAGTAATGATAGGCTGATTGAGTGGCTTATAGTGGTTAGTTGTTGGTAGATGAGAAGTGGGTTGGAGTTAAGCATGGTTGTTTGCTTTTTAGCACATTGTTTTAAATATTTTGTTACTTATTTTTTTATCTTCTTCTTGTTATTGATGGAATTTCAGTGGAAATATTATTAAAACTTTTTTTTAATACCGATTGTCTCTAAAAAATTAGATATTTTCACATTTTGTTGTTTTTGATTTTTCTTTTTTGCTATAGTTTTCAAATGTTGTGAAAAACGGTTTTGGAGAGAGAGAGAGAGAGAGAGAGAGAGTCGGTAAACATGTTGTATACAAAATCAACATAAAAATATAGTTCAATGCCTTAAACTATCACGATTTTATTTATTTGCATTTTAGTTAAAATAGAAATTGTTGCTAATAATTGTAGGACCGGAAGGTATTTAGTTATTTTTGTTACAATTACATTATTAGTCTAATTAATTAGCAGAGTGAAATTGAAATTTTGCTAATTAATTTTAATAATGCCTAAAATTTAGTGATTATTATCACGATCATTAACACTTAACATTTAAATTAATTATTTTTAACATTTTAAAAATGAAATTACATATAAATAATACATAGAATACATATTAAACAATAATACATAAATACACTAGTGATTTAAGATGGTTAAAATAGTTGGACATCAAACATAATAAGCCGGAGGGTATCACTAAAAGTAAGCCAATCATGTTATATAAGTTACAAACTTAGGTATCTGTATATTAATACTGATGTCCGTTATATTTGGTTCACTAAATCAAGTTTGCAATTCACTATACATCTAATGCCACATGACTTTCATTAGAAAATTTTTTCATGAATTAAATACTTGTGAAATGTTTGTAATAATAATAATAAAAGTAACATTTTTTGATTGAAATAATGTTGATTTTGCTAAACATTTTTATGTCAAATACAAACTCAATTATTATATACTTTATAATGACTTCTTCATAATGACAGCTGAGAGAGAGAGAGAGAGAGAGAGAGAGAGAGAGAGAGAGAGAGAGAGAGAGAGAGAGAGAGAGAGAGAGAGA